CCGAGCATCTGCTGTGCGAATACACAGGCTTCCCGCCATGCACGCGCCGACTAGAAGAATACTGGGAGGTTGATGGGCATATGCTATGCGAGCAACACGCGACGTCCGTGCGAGAGTCTGGCGATTTCTGGATGATCGACAGCAAGGCGATGAGGCGTGTTACTCGTTTCATCGATCTTACAGACTCTGGCAGCCGGCCGAGCAGCATCATCGGCGGCGTCCAATAATGGCCTACGCTAGATGGGCAAGTCACGCTATACCATATCCTATGATTGTACACTATTGGGAGACTGCAACTTATGCGTGGATCCCTGAGCTTCTCGTTTACACAGACTTTCGTTTTTTCTTTTCTTTAATCGGGACTTTCATCATCTTGCTTTGACGAACTAACAGTTTGTTCGTTCTCTTCACGACTCGACTATCACGTTTTCTGTTCTGTTTTGCGGCCTTCGCCTTGCTCTGCTTTCTTAGATTTTTCATGGTCCTTGCACGCGCCTTCATTCGTTTGGCTTCATTGTCTTTTTTATGTCGCTTCCCCCTTAATCCTCATCTCTTCCCATCTGTCTTTATTCCCCTTCGTGCATCCTACACATTTCTCACTCTCGATGCACTGCCTGGATTTAAGTGCTTCCAGGATCAGCACAGCGGCATGCTGCTTTACATCGTGGATTTTTATTGAGTGGGGATCGTGTGCCATACTCGAATATGCAGTGTATGTCCTCGAGACTCATTCGTACTACTTAGTACATATTTGTGTGTAAGTGTGTTGCATGCATGTACACGATGAATATACCACATTATATAGTTTTTGTATTGTTCAACAATGCTTTCAGTCTATGAGTAGGAAATTTTTGGACAGGTGAAAGATGTGTGCAATGCCTACTTCCATATGAAGTAAATCTACACTAGATGGCACGTGCAATTACCGGCGCGCAAGTCATAATATGTAACTGGTCCGTGCGCGGGGTGCTAGGGTATATAAGTGGGGCGGCGAGCGTCTTTGGAATCTTCACCACTCTGGCCTTTTGGCTTAGATCAAGTGTAGTATCTGTTCTTAATAGTTTAACCACTATTATGGAGGCACCGCCTCCATTATTGGTTATCTAATTTTTGTTGCCCTTGTTCTCTGTGCTCTGCTTGCAACACGGAGACATGATGACCTTGCTATTGCAGTATTGGCTTGTGTCGTCGGGGGAATTCACCTTTCTTTTTGTTTGAGTATTCTGCAGTGCCAGTTGGCAGCCAGTGGAATAACAGACAAATGGATTGTGGAAGTTCTGTTTTTTGGCATGTTTGGATTGTGCTTTTGTGGCTGATTTATGTATGCTTTTTTCATGATACTGTTTACTTATTTGTATTGAAGGTGCATCAATTATTGTATGGTTTGTTACCAAGGATATTATCTTTGAACAGATACTGAAAAGAGAACTTGAATTTCCATATTTGGAAAATGAAGCTGAGCTTATACAAGTGTTCAAATTTTTTGATTTCAAATGTTGGACATTACATTCAATGCTTGCTTGCTGGGGAAGAGGCACCGCTACGCTGTGCTGAAATCCTGTCACAGTCCTTGGCACTGCATCTTGCACGACACTCACCTGGACAGTCCTGGGAACGAGCGACTCCCGACAGCTAAGGGTGCGCCTCCCGCCTTCCCGACGTCTGTACGAGCTACCATTGTATCTGTCGTCTACGGTGCTCTCGTCTATAATTAAACCATATCGCGACGAGGTATCTCCGTGTTTCCCAGCCGACTCTTTCTTGTCTCCAGGGGATGAATCGATGAAGCATCGACGATGCTTGACTCGGATTCTATATTGAACAGGATACTGATCTCTCTTCACACAACAACGGTCGCGTCCTGAGCATAAGTAATTCATCGACATCTCGACGCTCAACCAAACGGGACTTCTCTGAATTGTGCTGTAATACTCTCTGGACCCTATCTTCTGTTACGGCAGATAATTGGCTACACATGACCCATCCGTTGGTCTTCGACTCTTTGTCGTTGCCCCCGAAACTCCGCTGCATCGTCCTTGTTCCCTCCTCGCCTCGGATGATGTTTAACATCAGAATGTGGCGCGATTTTCTGTCCCTCTGCCAAGGTGACCATTCCACGCAACCAGGGCTTCGGGCCTTTTGTCTCGCTTGTGCAAGCAGCGTGCACTGTTACCAGTTCCTCAACGATCGGCCGATTTGCCGCAAATAAAATGGCCCACGTCTGGGCTATCGCTCTCCAGGTCTGCTTGTCTCCATCCCTTCGTTCATTCCTCATTCATTCATTCTCTTCACAGTCTCTACCTCTATCCGAGCCTAGCCTGCTTATTGTTTCATTATTCTTGACGCTTGACGCGGTTTTCTAACATGTTCTCTCGCGCCGCACTTCCCTATGCGCTGGTCGCTGCCTTGTCAGCTATTACAAGTGTGCAGGCTCACGGTTATGTCTACCAACTCGACATCGGCAACGTATCGTGGTCTGGGTACATTGCCGTTAAAATATGTCTTGTGTTATAGGGCTGATATGTTGGCCAGATACCTGCCTTACACCGACCCATATGAAGACCCCGTTCCTGAACGTATCGTGCGCAAGATTCCAGGAAATGGTCCGGTTGAGAACGTCAGCATTTCCGAGTGAGTTCCGCTTGCTATAGTTCTCGAAGGTTCAAGAGGCATTCCGTTGTAGTATTCAATGCAACACCGGCGCTGAGCCTGCTGCGCTCGTCGCCTCAGCCAAACTTGGC